GATTTCTTAACTCGTTAGCAAAAAATTGGTTGTGACGATGATACCTTGCTCTAATGATGTTCGTCATATGACGGACGAAAGCTTAGCACCGTTTCACCGGAATCGAAGGAGATTACCTCGGAAACAGCGTCAGCATGAATCTTCCACTAAAGCCAATTGACAGCTGGTCAAGAGGAATCAGCCGTCGTCTTCTGGTGGAAACGACCATCGAATCTCTTTACGCAACACTTTCACTCTAAATAAAAGTAGGGTCAACAATTATGAAACAAGACATTCCTCGAAACTCAACTTTTCTTAGCATCCTTTTTTTGGGTTTTAACACTCATTTTCATAGACATTTTAAAGCATTTTAAGACTTCACACTCTAGTTGAACCTTTTTACCCAGTTAATCTCAGGTTGCCTATAATTCTTTGATATTTTTAACTTCCTTTTACTATGAAATGAGCTTTTGTTGTTTCAAATTCCATCCTGGTCTAATTTTTCAATTTTTTTCTTATTTTCGAGCGACTATAGACAACAATTAATAATCGATCCTTCTTCAGCTCGTTATTTTACGCAGTTACTTTTGGATGAGATTAGTTTTTGCATTTAATTCACAACCTGTAAATTAGGCGAATAATTTATCTCCTCGTACCCCCGTTAATCAATCTACTGCAAGCTTCTCAAACGTGCTATTCGTTCTCTTACTTATTCACTTACATAATATTAGTCCTTGCTGAATTGTACTATTCATGCCTATCGTAAGGAACTAACTAACTTGTTGGATTTTCCATCATTTCGATTGCAAAGAGCCAGGTATACAATAAATAATAATTTACATAAAATCTAGAGTATACCGTTAAAAGCAAATTACTAAGTCCTGGAAACCGCTAAAGTCTTTCGAATCGGTATGCACTGGAAAGAACGCTGCTCTAAAGGATGCATCATTCGCTTTTTCATCATTTTTATTTATCTAATTCTTGGTGCTGCCGTTGCTTTGCTGCTCATCGTAAGCACTTTTATTCACTGGAGCCACAGATGGGTGGCCTCCAGCTTGTTGCCTCGAGAAGTGTTGGCAGTGTGGCCTAGTTTGGCCAGTGGGCCCATGATGACCGCCTTCTCGGATCAGATAGTCTCAGTCCTAGACTACAATTACGGTCTTGTGATCTGCTTGCTTGGCTGCCTTCTTCTCCTTCTCATCTTCCACTGTCTGTCTGGCCTGGTGCGTATTGAGAAACACCCCATGGGGCTACTTTCTGCAATGGCTGAGTCAACTTTTTGTTTAATGGCCTTCATCATGGCAACCATTTCGTTGGCTGGCCGACAGCCTTTCGTGCAACAAGAACTCGAACACAGACTGACCGATCTTCTACAAAGCCACTATAGCATGGAAAAGGCCTGGACCCAATTTGATCGTAGATCCCAGTATCTTTTAGAAGAACGATCCTTAATGGTGAACTACCTGAATTCCGACAAGGGCACCAATGCTAGCACTACTAACTATACAATACTCAGCAAAACTACGCCGATTCAAGCCGCAACGTCACAAACAGATAGCCCCAACTTAACCTTGAAGATGAGCAATGTCAAGATCCTATTCCTAAATAGGTTGGTGGATGAAATACAAATGCATTTCAACTGCTGTGGCATCCTAAGCCACGATGACTACTTAGGTGTTGCCGACTTCCAAAACCAACCAAACTTAATACCACCATCGTGCTGTATGAGGCCATACAATCAGACCTGTCTGCGAAATCCGACTATGTATAATGCTTATTTGGATACAGGGTGTGGCATGAAGATATGGTCTACTGTGGACCCGATCTGTGGAGGGCTTCTTCTGATTCTAATCATCATAAATGTTTTAATTTCCATTTCAATCGTTCTCAATGCCTATCTACTAAAGCTCATGCATAAAAAATAATAGATTTGCTGATAATTTACGGACGTTTAGACAGTGACGAAATATATCAAGGCTATCTACCAGGCCTTTGGTTATGAAGATCGCTAATAAGAACA